CTCGAAAAGAAGGATGCTGTCCCCCCCCCCCCAAAGGAGAGCAACGGGGAGGATCGGGGGCCTGGAGACCAAGCCCTGTGAGGAAAGGCTGAGGGAGTTGGGGATGTTGAGTCTGGAGAAGGGGAGGCTGAGGGGGGACAGGATGGCTCTCCTGACATATCCGAAGGGCTGTCCCTTAGAGGAGGGCAGGGAGCTGTTCCTGTGGGCAGCGGAGGAGAGGACTCGCCACAATGGGTTTAAATTAAGGGCGGGAAGGGACCGGCTGGATATTGGGGGAAACGTTTTGACAGTCAGAGTCGCGCCGCAGTGGGATCAGCTGCCTGTGGAGGTGGTGAGCTCCCCCCCTCCCTGGGAGTCTTCAAGCAGCGGCTGGACAAACACTGGTCAGGGAAGCTCTAGGCTGGTCCTGCATTGAGCAGGGGGGTGGACTAGATGGCCTCTAGGGTCCCTTCCAGTTCTTTGATTCTGAATAGAGTTGCCAGGTCCCCCCTGGCCACCGGCAGGGGATGGAGGGGTAGAGTTGTCAGCTCCAGGTTGGGAAACTCCTGGAGATTTGGGGGTGGAGCCCGGGGAGGACAGGGACCTCGGTGGGGCACAATGCCACAGAGTCAACCCTCGAAGGCATCCATCTTCTCCAGGGGAACTGGTCTCTGTCGTCTGGAGATGAGCCGTGATGTCGGGAGATCCTCAGGCCGCAGTTGGAGGCTGGAATTCCTACCCCCAGCGATGGAACCACATGGCCTGGTTACCGATCGTTGCCTTGGGCGGTGGTCTCTGCAGTGTTTCAAGCTGTCTCTTCTCACCCTCGTGCAAATTGCTTGGGCTTCTCCCCCCCCCCCCACTTCTGCTGAGAAAACACCGTGTACACAAACAATGCGTGGATGTTTCGTGTATTCTTCTCCACCACCGCCACCGGTCTCCTCCCATTACCCAATGTGAGATTGTAACCCACGACCTTTGACCACTCGAAATGACCCAATCGAGCGGCAGCTTTCCTCCGTTTCCCCTCCCCTTCCTCTCTTAACTGAACGTTCCATTCGCCTAGGACTCCACCCGATCCCGCCCCAAGGAGGCAAACTGGAGATTGCTGGCATGGTGGTGGGCCAGTGGGCCGGAAGCAAACCGTCCCGGGGCCAAGGCTCCTTCGGCATGCAGGTGGTGTCAGTGGGAGGCCCAGGGAGAGGGTAAGTCCCGCTAGAGCGATCGTTCTGGGCCCGACTGCTGCTGTCGGGAAGGGTCGGTTCTCTCCTTGTAAGATGCTGCAGCAGCCGGGTGAGGGTGGGATGCAGGATACGGCCGCCGTAGAGAGACAGATGCAAAGCAGTTAGGGAAGGGGGAACCAGTAAGGCAGGGTTCGGTGGGCACAAGCACAAGAACATGAGAGAAGCCAATGTTGGATCAGGCCAAAGGCCCATCCAGTCCAACACACTCTTGTCACACAGTGGCCAGAAATACCAGGTGCCATCAGGAGGTCCAGCAGTGGGGCCAGGACACTAGAAGCCCTCCCACTGTTGCCCCCCCACACACACACATACCAAGCACCAAGAAGACAGAGCATCCCTTGCCCCAGACCGAGAGTCCCTGTCTATACCTTGTGGCTAAGAGCCACCGATGGACCTCTGCTCCACGTTTATCCAATTCCCTCTTGAAGCCGTCCACCCTTGTAGCCGCCACCGCCACCTCCCGTGGCAGTGAACTCCATCATGTTAAAAGTGCATCATGTTAAAAGTGCCTGTTCCCCTTGAAATCCCTGGAACTTAAAAGTCGATCGAAGATTTTAAAGTTTGTGTTATATCTGCCCTTTAAACGGATCGATTGCATTCAAATGAATATGCGTTATCACCCAGACCGCAACACTTAATACCTTTTTGGAGACACACTGAGGACTTGAACTGTAATGAACGAATGCTGCCGTTTGCATTAGGACAGGTCAGTGTGACTCTTCGCCCCGACCTGGGTGGCCCAGGCTAGCCCGATCCCATTAGCTCTTGGAAGCGAAGCAGGGTCGGCCACGGTTAGTATTTAGATGGGAGACCATCAAGGAAGTCCAGGGTTGCTACGCAGAGGCAGGCAATGGCAAAACCATCTTCGACAACAAACCCATCTCTGTTTGTCTCTGCCCTGACTTGGGTGGCCCAGACTAGCCTGATCTCATCAGCTCTTGGAAGCTAAGACGGGTCGGCCCTGGTTAGTACTCGGATGGGAGACCGCCAAGGAAGACCAAGGTTGCTACGCAGAGGCAGGCAACAGCAAACCCATCTCTGTTTGTCTCTGCTCTGACTTGGATAGCCTGACCTCATCAGATCGTAGAAGCGAAGCAGGGTCGGCCCTGGTTAGTACTTAGATGGGAGACAGCCAAGGAAGTCCAGGGTTGCTACGCAGAGGCAGACCATGGCAGGACCACCTTTGTTTGTCTCTGCCCTGACCTGGGTGGCCCAGGCAAGCCTGACCTCATCAGATCGTAGAAGCTAAGCAGGGTCGGCCCTGGTTAGTACTCGGATGGGAGACCGGCAAGGAGGACCAAGGTTGCTACGCAGAGGCAGGTCATGGCAAACCCATCTCTGAACGTCTCTTGCCTTGAAGCCCCTACAGGGTTACCAAAAGTCAGTTGTGGCTTGACGGCTCTGTCCCCCATCCATGTGGACTGTCCTTTGCCACCCCATTTGTAGGAACCCGCCAGAACTAAAATACTTCCACCCCCCACTTACTTATTGGAATTGGCCCCCGCCAATTTATCAGTTTACGCTTACTCTTCTGGCTGTCGCCCTAGACTGAAGGGTGCCAAATCATTCCTGATGGGTTCTTCAGCTCCGTGGGGTGGGGGGCTCTGAAAGCCACCCCCCCCCCCAGCTTCTCTTCACAGATTCTTAGCAGTTCTCTTTTTATCAGTAATAATGTTTGCCGCTGATAGAATCGATGGTTTGTGTGCTCTGGCAAACAAGTCCACAGGTTACGAGCCCACAAAAGATCCTTCTGCCCTCACGCACCTGTGCGAGTTCCCTTTCCGTAGCCCTTCCTTTCCTAAGCATCCAGGAGTCATTCTTCCCCCAAGCGAGAGACTGCTCATAAGCCTGGATCAGTGTGTTCATAAGTGAACTGAATATTGTTCCTTTTCCTTATAATTCAGCGGACTCTCTTCTTCCTGGTATTAATGAACTTGTGCTTTAATACCTTTTTTTGTGGGGGGGGGGTGTTCGTCTTTTGCAGCCGTGGCCGCGATAACTCTGGGAAGCTCTCCAAAGGAAACAAGAAAGTCAACAAGCAAGTACGTGTGTCTCGGCCTTTCTGTCCTTTGTTGTTTGTCGGTGTAGCCTCACGGCCCCCCTGGGGTCAGCAACTGATGCTCTCCACCTCTGCTCTCGAAACCACAGGATTGTGTTGGCCGGCTCACGCTGGAAGCTCCTGGAAGTCTTCCCGCACCTCTGGGAAGGAATTCTGCATAACTGGAGCGGCTGTTCCAGGGGTCCCCAACACGGTGCCCACGGGGGCCCAGGCACCCACCGGCACCTTTCCTGGTGCCCCCCCCAGTGTTCCCCCTAAGCTGAGTTAGTGTGAGCCAGCTCACAGTTTTTTAGCCTCCAGCTCACACATTTTTTGTCTTCGCTCAGGAAGGGAGGGCTCCAGAGCAAGCTGATTTGTGCAGCAGCCAGCTTTAATGCCACTCGCTCACCAAGTGGAATTTTTGCTCCCTAGACTCCACCGCTCCAGGGCAAACTAATTTATGCAGGAGCCAATTGGCTGGCTGACAACTTTAATGCCAGGAGCTCACCCAGTAGAATTTTTGCTCACAAGCAGTACTCCCTCTAAGCTGCGGAGAGTCTTGTGAGCAAAGATTCTCCTTTGTGAGCTGCTGGCATTAGAAGAAGAAGAGTTGGATTTATACCCCGCCCTTCACTACCCAAAGGTGTCTCAGAGCGGCTTACAAATGCCTTTCCCTTCCCCTCCCCACAACAGACACCGTGTGAGCTGGGTGGGGCTGAGAGAGCTCGTGACAGAAACTGCTCTTTTTCAAGGACAGCTGTGCCAAAACTATTGCTTGCCCAAGGTCATCCAGCAGGTGCAAGTGGAGGAGTGGGGACTCGAACCCGGTTCTCCCAGATTACAGTCCACGCACTTCACCACTACACCAAACTGGCTGTCACATTAAAGTTGTGAGCGAGCGATTTGGCTGCTGCATCAGTTAGTTTGCTCTGGAGCCGTCCTTCCTGAGCCGAGACAGAAATGTGTGAGCCAGAGGCTAAAAAACTGTGAGCTAGCTCACACTAACTCAGTTTAGAGGGAACATCGCTCACAAGACTCCTCAGCTTAGAAGGGAGCATTCCGGCCAAGTGTTTTTAGACAGGGGGTGGGGCTTTTGCCCAGGAAGGCTTCTTGCTCGGCTACTGGAGATTTGATCGGCTGTGCAGATTTTTAATAAACGTTGCTTTGGCAGCAGCCGCCTCCGCAACACCAACTGTGTTTCAGAGTAAGTGGCAGCAGCCATTTTGTGGTCGGCTCCGCCTCCTGTGGCAGCCATCTTGTGCTGTGCCCATCACACTGTCTCGGAATTCCAAATGCGTCCACAGGCTCAAAAAGGTCGGGGACCCATGGACCATTCCAGATTTGCTTTCTGACCCACTTATAACGTAGGGTTTTCCCAGCCCATTACTGTCAGTAAAAGGGGGAATGTTTCAGTCCATTTTGGCGGTGGTGGAGGGAACGCGCTATGGTTATAAAGAGCAAAGGTTTGTGAGTAAAGCAACGATTTCCCGGGGTTTTCTCACTGCAGCTGCCCATAAAAACCCATGGCAAGGGGACTTTCGAGTGGTGGGTTTCACTGCCTCAGTCCCCCTCCCTGCTGTCAGAATCCTGGTTAAATCAGTTCTCAACACCATTCACTTCGAAGAAAGTTTAGTTTATTGAGACGTTGATAGATACCATACTGGACACGAGCTTTGTTAGGACTGAAGGTGAAAGCAGGAAGGCACTCAAGATCAGAACCCAATCACCCCACGCCAGAACTAACAGTCAACACGTACCCCTCTACAGAAATAAAGCAGAACGACAGGTCTGGCACATCGAAGCATTTAGGAAAGTGGAAGCCTTTTGGTCTTCACACCCCTTTCCCCCTCCTCCTTCCTCTACGGCAGGCAAACTATAAAATGCATAGTGGGCCTGACACCTGTGCAGCTAGAATCTTTGGGTTTTTTTTTTTTTTTTAATTGCAATCCTCTTGTGAGGTCCTCTTTCCCCTTCTCTCTCCGCCAGGGGTCATTTCGTAGAAAAAGAGCTAGGGGAACTCATTAGCATAACTCATTAGCATATGCCACACCCCCTGACATCAGGGGCCCGGCAGTGGACCTGCAAGGCCAGCGGGAGTGCGAGGAAGCCCCGCCAAGGCCCTCCCTGGCCCCAGGCAGGCAGGGGTGGGGAGAGGCGGGGAGGAAGCAACTTACCCTCCCTCTTCTCCTGCCTCCTCCTGGCTGAATGAGGGCTGGAAGCAGGGCGGCCGGAAGCAGGGGGCGGGGCTTCATCATGTGCCCCGCCCCCCTGCACCTCACCCGGGGGAACGGCAATCCCCCGCGTTCCTCCCCGAAATGACCTCTGCTCTCCGCAACAAATGAGGCTAGAGTTGATCGAGGCCCTTCCTAAGGCAAATGGAAATAGGTCGGGGAGGACACTAGAGGCTGAAAGGGGGCGGGGTCGAGAGAGAGGCAAAGAGCCAGGATGACGGAAACCTCTTTCTCACCCAGTCCAAGGCCAGGAGGAATGCTGGCAAGGGTCTGCCTGGCTCGGGCAGGGGATTAGATAAGGAATAATGGAGGATAAATCTGTCAGTGGCTACTAGCCATGGCGACGGAGGGCAACCTCCACATTCAGGGGCCCTAAACCCCTGAATCCCAGAGCCAGGAGGCAACCTCAGGGGAAGACCTCGGTCTCTCTGCCCTGTTGTTGGATCTCCAGAGGGACTGGTTGGCCTCTGTGTGAGACGGGGTGCTGGACTAGAGGGACCCTCAGTGGTCTGATCCAGCAGGGCTCTTCTGATGTTCTTATCAGGGGAAGGCCTTGGCCTCTCTGCCCTGTTGTTGGCCCTCCAGAGGAACTGGCTGGCCCCTGTGTGAGACAGGAGGCTGGACTAGAGGGACCACCGGTCTGATCCAGCAGGTATGTTCCCTGGGTAGCTGTTTTCTATGTGGTTCTGATTCAATGCTGTGGGTGGTAGCAGATTATCAAACATGGTAAAAACAACTTCTCATCTGCACTGATGTGGGGTAAATGTCTCCTTACAATCTGGTCAGATGATGCAAGGGGACTGACTCCCAGATAATTGGCCTCATCCCAAGGTGTGGCTTTTCCCCTCTGCATTTATTTATTTATTATTTTCAATTTGTATCCCACCTTGCCGGGGAACTGTACAGATTCTGTATCCACGCTTAACCATGTTCATCCTTAGAGAAGTGGCGCTCACGAAAAATGTCTGCATTTCTTTGATAGCTGATATTTTGGGGCCGCATGGTCCACCTTTTTCTAACGTTGCCATCTCCTGCCTGACAGGGCTCTACCGACGGAGCAGCAAAGACGCCGGAGTTCAACAGCGGCAGCAGCCTCCCGCAGTCCCAGGTGAACGGGAATGGGGGCACCACCACTACTGTGGGCGAGGACCCAGGACTCGGGGCCTGCCCCTCAACCACCTCACCGTGTGCCTTAGCCAGAGACGCGGACTCGTGCAATAACAATAGCCCGTTCTTCGGGACGCTGAGCGGGGACCCCGAACGGGGCCTGGAAAACAAGCTTCCGTTCCCAGCTCTGCAGAAAGAGGAGTGAACAGCTGCCGCCGTGGGTCCAGTTGGGGTGGTGACAGAAAGGGCGTGGTGGGAGAGGGAGAAAGTTATGGCACCGTCGGCAAGGGGTGGGAGGTGGGCGTGGCGTTTGAGCAAGAATTTGGAAGCACCAAGAGGAGTGGGTTTCACTGGGGGAGGGATTGAGGGAGCACTTCCTCGATGGCACTTAAAGGGGCCGGGGGGGGCTGACCCACTGCAAAATAGGGGGTGTCCTCAAGGCGCACCACAAGGTGGAAAACAACTTTCTTGTATCCCACTCCGGGTGACCACTTCTTTTGTCTCGCCCCTCGGATTTGCTATCGTGCCAATCGGATCCACAAGAGCGGCAATTTTTTTCCCCCTTCTTTTTTTTTTTTAAGTTCGTTTGCATTTTTTTTAATTTTATAGGGGGGAGTCTTTTTAGGGGGGCGAGAATTATGAATTCTGGATTGGGGGAAGGGTGTTATTTTTTAAAGGTTAAAAAAAAAGAACAGCTGGCAAGATTTTATTTAAAAAACAAAATTAGGGCAGATTTTTCCTGCCTTCCTTGTTAATTTCTTGCCAACTGCGCCCACCGCCGGCCCCCTCCCCCTCCGAAGCAGCCTTTGCTTTCGGAGATCGTGCTGGTGGGCTGGAGTCCGGGGGGAAGGGAGAGAGGTTTTTAAGAGAGAGAGAGCGAGAGAGCTCGCAGAGCATTTTATCGCGAGATATACATGACGTGTGTATACTGGCTTGTGCTTTTTATTATATATGAAAGAGAGAGAGAGATTATATTTATATATAACGTGAATAGAGCTATATATAAATATGAACGCAGCAAAACCCGGAAGGGGGTGGAAACATTCCCGGGAGACGACTTGCGTTCCAAAGCGCCATGCGTTTTGCGAATTAAAGGCCTGCATCCCCAAGCCCACCATCTGACCTCACTGTGGTCTGGTGGAGCGAGCGGACAAGGCAGGCCACCCGATATCAGACAGAAAACTTTTTATCCTTAAAACAGACGAGCACTTAACCGTTAACAATTCCAGGACTGTGAGCGAACAGAAAGGGTGGTGTCTCTAAAAGGGGAGTGGGTGAATGACCGTCCTGTTGGGAAGGTGCGGGGGGGGGGGTGTGAGGAAGACCAAGTGCTTTAAATCCTACACACGGCACATTGGGGGTTCTGGTGTTTCGAGAGGGCGTTTGCCTGTAGACGCGGCTGTGTGTACTTTTGCGGATTCAGAACTCCATTCCGCGGTCGAGTGCCGAATTTGGCGTTCTGAGGAACACTAGCGTTCGTCAGCATGCTGAAAAATTCGTTCTGTGTTTGCAACATTCGCAATTGAAATGAATTTAAAACGGATAATTAGAAGGTGGGTGAATTGCGATTGACGGAGCAAGCTGATCGAGGCTTTAATTGGATTTATAGGATGGGGGGGGCTTTGACACCTTGTACAACTACCTCTCCCCCTCCTCTCTTGCGGCTGCTACGCCTTGCTCCCCCACCCTCGAACCCGTTCTCGCCTTCTGCCACTTTTTAATCGTTAAAACAAATTCCAAAGTTTTGACAACTTTGCATTTTGGAATAAGCTAGGTAAAAAATAAGCCGCAACGGTCTATAAAAATGGGTGGTCTATTCTCGTGTACTGAACTTGAGGGGGGTGCAAACGACACACAGCTTTGTTTATACAGAGTAGATTAAAACAGGGAAGAGTCCAAGCTGGAGTTCAGGTGAGTGAGGTTAGAATTCCCGCACAGTGAACTTCACCCCTGCTCTCCAGCTGTGCGGACTTCCAGCATACCGTTTAATCTGCTTTCTCGCAGCTTTCTTGGTGTATGCCTCAAACTGCTCAGATGGCAAAACACCAGAATTATCCTTCCAACCCCAGAACGTGCTTCTTATTTTAATTTCTGCCTTCTGCTGTCTTTCAGGGTGACGTTACTCCCCCCCCCCCACATACTCACACAAGGCTTTCAAAGGGACAACTGAAACTGTTCTTAGAAACCAGGTGCTTGGGGAAATGACTCGTACTGCCTTGTTTGACCATGATCAGGCCACATACATACAAGATCCCAGGAAAAAAGAAGTCCAAGTCATACATGCCCATCTGTCCAAAAGATGTTGCGCCTCTCCCATTGGTTTTGCATTGCCAGAAATTTGCAAAACCAATCAGAGCCAGTAATTGGGACTTTTCGGAGTCTTGATAGCTGGAATTGCCTGCAGAATCCCGAGAGAACTCAATGGTTGTTCATCCTTTCTGGAAGTTCCTAAGAATACAAGCGTTTTCATCCTGAGTTCCTCCAGTTTGCCATTCCCTCTTCCTAAACGTTTATGGCACAGATGTTCCCGAGACATTTGCCAGCCAAGCATGACTAGGGTTGCCAAGTCGATCTTTGCCGGGAGCGGGGGGCTCCCGGCCAGCGTCTGGTGCGCGTGCACGCAAAGTGCGCTCGCCGCATGCACGTCACCCGGAAGTGACGTAACGACGCCAGGCACGCTGGGGGTGGGGCCACGGCCATACAAGGGAAAACCATAGACTTTTGCCTCGGATGGCCATGGCTCGGTGCCCGGCGTGGTCGCGTCACTTCCAGGTGACGCGCACATCGGGGAGGAGTTCCCCCCAGGGCCCGATCCAGCGGCACCGGGGAACGGGCCTCTGGGGCGGGGGTTTCCCCGCCCCCCGGGGGGACTTGGGAAGCCTAAGCATGACCCACATAAGTCATTCTCTTTAACTGGGCTTAACTTCCATGGTTGTGCTGAATATTTAGAAGGGAGAGCAACTGGGCCGGTCTTTTATTCTCCTGAGATGGGACAGAGCAAGATTTCTTCAGTTAATATTCTCCGACCTCCCTCTTCTTACATACAGGGCTTTTTCGCATTCTCATTTTCCTCCCTTGTAAGTTCCTGTTTCTTCCGGGGAGGGTGTGTGTGTTTTGTTCCCTCCTGTGGTCAATTTGATATTACACATGTTTATGTCCTGCAGTTTAAATCTGCAGGGAGGGATGCCGGACATAGACGGGTGTAATTTCAAATTGACTAGAGGGAGCAAAACACATGCTGAATGGGGATGGGGGGACCCCAAAGAAACAGAAACTGACAAGTAACATGAAAATGCAGAGAAGCCTGTAGATTCTCCATCACCTCTGTCCTTGATTCTCTAACCTTCCCTTTTCTAGCACTCGTAGCAGAGAAAAGAAGCTTCAACATAAAACATTTTAACTTCTGCAAGTATGCCTCAGATAAACCTCAATGTCCACTGAGAAGAAGTATGAAAGTGGAATAAATGAATGCAGCTTTGCCCACATTTCACTCAGGCCTGGCCTAACGAAGCCGTATGGGGTAGTGGTACGGATTGTACCATTTTAAACCTTCAAGTGGGGGAAGCTTACATTTTTAATAGTCCCCATGTAAAAAGCACATTTTTTAAAAAAAATGAGTATATCAATGAGAGAGAGAGAGAGATTCCAGCTTAACCCTTCAAGTTCAGTACACTTTTCCACTTCCGGGGAATGATTAACATAGAGGAACTCTGAAAAACAGGATCCTTCTCTTGCGCTTTCCAGCGGTACAATCCATTCTGCTACCTTCATCCCCTGGCACCTCATTACCACCTCTTTTCTGCTGCACAACCAACCCTGATACTGTGCCACTTAATCATCAGGAAGAAAATTATTCTCAATGGAGAAGCCACTCAAGGGTGGAGGGACACTGGGTCAGACATTACAACTGTCCATGAGGATTTTATTTGCTCCAGCTAATGTGGATACCAGGAGAAACCCAGCTTTCTCTCAGTTATCTACATCAGCTGGAGCAATAAAATCTTCATGGATAGCTTGTAATGTCTGATCCAACCTGGACCGGGATGCAGCTTTCCTGATGAGTTTGGGACACAATAGCCCCGACTCTTGAAATGTACAGAAAAGGTCTTTCCTGTCTTCATGAAAGGCACCTGGATAGGTGAAGAGAGAACCTTACCTCTTTTATTGGAAGCCTAAGAGTGCCTTCAAAGCACAGCTCCTCTGTGGAGACTTGCCTAGCGAAGTATGGCCCCCTCTGAGGGCTGACCTTCATTTGGAGTCCCCAGAAGGAACCCCGTGGAGATTTTGAGATACCGAGGCTGTGGGGCAAGGGGGAAGCTTGCCCTGCATTTCTCTTGAGGTGCAAATCTCTCGTTAAGTACGAGCAGAAGGCAGAAATTAAAATCATGCATTAAAGGTGTATGTTGCGGGGGGGTTGGCGGTCTGAAAAGCTCCCAGCTTCAGTGCCAGACGGAATAAGCCCAACTAACGTGGCGGGGGATAGTGTTGGAGAATGCTGAATTTAAACTTTTAAAGCTTACATCTTCTGTCACTTGAATGTGCTCCAGTCTGGATTCGACTCAGTGATGCAGAGGTTACCTACTTTATCCCCAGGGTTAACTGTGGGTGGGGCCAGTATAAGTCACCCTAACACGAGATTTCCCGTTTCACAGACAGGCAGTTGCTTAACCTCTTCCCCGTAGAGCTGGGGAGCTACCCGTGCAAATTGGGAAGCGGGTAGAAATTGGGAGGAGGAAGTGTACCCCCCCGGTTGACCGGGGCGGGGTGTGTGAATCAGCCACTTTTAACTTGACAGTATTTAACCAAGGAGGGAGGAAAAGACTTTCCTCTCTGGACCGATAGTGCAGATTTCCAAGCAGCTTCACCATTGCCAGTTCTGAGGCTCACCTCCGAACTAGAGAGACTCCGAGCTACCTTTTTCAGTCGATCACACAGTTCTCCCATCACAGAGCTATATCAGTAGAGTATCCGGCAGCCCTGAGGGGAGGCCTATTCATGCGATGGTTTCTGACATCTGTTGCATCTGTTCTCTCCTATCAAATTTCTAATGTTTTGTGGGTCGGCTCCTTTGGATTTGGGTCAGATTCCCCCCCCCCCCCCCCCCCCCTACAATACAGTCGGACAAGATATTGATTGTAAAAAAAGACAGGAGGGGTTAGTTTGGCTTTATATTTGTACAGACTGCAGGTAGTGGCGGTTCTCAGGTACAAATTAATCCTCCTAGACTGTTCACAGGGAAATACTGTTGTGCTTACTATAGCTGTGTGCGTGTATGCTGCAATAATGGAGTGCAGAATAAGGGACCGGTTGCGGGATTCGGTTTCCCGAGAACGTTGCCTTTCTTCTGCGTCTTTGTTTTTTGTTTTTTTTTCTAATCAAGTATCTAGTCCTTATGGCTGCAGGGACATCCTTAAATATGTGTGAGCACTGTCGGATGAAATCTCAGAAGTCAAGAGTGCTTTGTTACTTATCGAATATCAAGGCCACCATGAATTAGACCAAACAGTAAACCTTGTAAAACAAATTATGCAAAGTAAGATTGCAAAAAGGGCATCG